CCCCAAAACCCCAAAACCCCAAAACCCCTCTTCTTACTATAAATATTGAGGTCACAAAAATGGAAATCAGAATCAGCGTTGAGATCAAGAACAGGTAAGCTAACCAGCCATGAATTGTTCAAGGAAACCTATCCCTGTGGGCTGGGATGCTCACCTATGGAGGGGTGTTGTAGTGGAGGCTGGATTTAAGGGAATAAGAGGGGCTGAGAGGGATTTGGGAGACTTTTGAGAAGAAAAATTGGTTATTTGGAATTTGTAGTGGGAGTAAGAAGCAGAGTGTGTGACAGAATAGTACAGTTAAGATAGCAAATTTTGATGAAGATTATGGGAGAGGGGACTCTAGGAGTGAGAGTAGCAGTGATAAGAGATGTAAGTGAGGGATGAGGATAAGAGAAGTAATATTTTGATGTAGCAAATGCTTTAAAGCAGCAGAAAAAGAATCTTTTCACATCGCCTATCACTCTTCCACATAAACCACCCTTAAAATCGAAATCAATTATACATAAAGGGGCAAAAATAAGGAAATAAGTGGTACTCAGTAAATTTCATGCATAGAAAGAAGCTGAGAGAATCGAGCAATTCTAAAATTTCTCACAATCCCTCGATTTCATTAAATAATAAGTAATTTGAACATTCTAAAAAGTAGGATTGAAGTGACTAAGGAGAAGAATTATGGAAATTTCTTTCAAGGGCCTTTAACCACCACTGATCCAAGTGCAAATATCTTCGAGTCTCCTTCAAGATTTGAGTATGTCTACTTCTAATGCTTTAGTCAGCACATGAGATCAAAGGTGGTCCAGCCAAAAGTAATTTATAATGCTAAAACATAGAAAATAAATATAAAATTACCTAAAATCAACAGTATTACCTTTGCTTAAAATTTAGGAAGACTAAATAACTCTTTAAGGGTAGTACAGAACGAATATGAAGAAGACAAACAAACTTTGGGAGACCTCGACTCACAGTCTTCGGTAACTCGACTTTGGTAATAGTTTAGCTCATTGCAAGGAGAATAATTGGAAAAAATAAATGTAATTCCACATCTGGAAATCATATAGCAAGCAAAGGAACTATGGCAGGCAATTCATTTGATATGGCTGACAAGATGATACAGAAATATTCAGTGATCCTCTCTTCTTCATCCAATATTTCAGGAAGAAGATCTGAAGCAAGGACAGAATTAAGAGACCCAAATTATTCAATGAGGCATCAAAAATCTGAAGCACCTTCTGACCTTCTCTGGGGTGAAGCAAGGGGGAAATAAGTCTCTAGGAATCAAGAATATTGAACTGTTTAGTACGTATTTATAATAACCCTTAGGAAACAATGGTATGGACGAGCAATGGCAATGTAAAGTTAGGATAGATGCACCAAAATCTTAATATTTTCGCCTCTTCGGAATAGAAAACTTCACTTATGAATAATTATGTTTATTCCAACCTCTTTTCTTTAAGATTTGATTTCACTTTATTTAATAGGAAAATAAGGAGACAATTATTGACAGGAGTAAGAAACTGATGTTACATAATCAGCCAAGTTTACATGATGGGAAAGGGGGGAACAACTTCAAAGTTCTCAAGGATGTTGGACTGAAGGAGACTTTGTCTTCATCTCCAAATCCTTTACATCGAAATCGCAAGTCTTTAGTTCCTTAATCTTTAGGGTCAATGAACTTACCTTTGAAATCACTAAGAGTTTCAAGAAAGGAGATATTAGATAAGAACTCGATTAAGAATGAGAAAATAGGTACTTAAATTTTAACTCAAACTATTTAGAATTTTCTTCAAAACCTACCAGCTATTTGCCAGCGATGAAGAAAATGAGCATCCAGAACGATCCACCTGAGACAGGCCTCGTTCACCCCATATTTTCATTTTGAGATAAATAAAATTGTAGTTAGCAAGAAACATGATAAATTGAGAGGCTCTATAGACCTTAGCCAAAGTTTTAGTTTTGATAATATCGATAACCGGCTGGGAAATTACAGCGGTAAAGGTAAGTACATTCTCCAAGACTAGTGTCATTTTCTTTCACATTTCAATCCTTGGAATACCATACTATAAAACTCCTTTAGTAAAACCTCGACTTGAGAGAGAAAGGAAAGAGAATATGAAATTTAAAGTTAACTTTAAGATGCCTAAACAAGGTAATTGAGTAAACTAATCTCTAGTTCTTCGAAGCAATTTAGAAATCATTAGGGACATCAAGCACAGGATGGGATACTAATTCTGCTCCTCTGCGTTACACATGCTGAATAAACTACAGGAAGCATTTCATATAGGTTCCTTAGAAATTCAATAATTTCATGCAACTAGGGGTTTTGGGGTTTTGGGGTTTTGGGGTTTTGGGG